TAATGATAAGGTTATTTCCATTTTTTATCAGGAGAGTTACTATTTAATTCACATTTTGCAAAGCCCTTGTATATGATGTGTACAAGCTGTATTGAATTGCAAATATATTGAGAGTTTAAACTAGAAGTGCAATATTCATTCAGCGGTTACATGAATATTCATATTTTTTAACCACCGCGGACAATTTTCCAAGAAAAATGAATAATATTCCAAATCTAGAGAATATTCTTTGAAAGGTATACAGGAGATTAAATCCAGGTCAGAACGTCATTCCTGTCAAAAGTATTCCTAAGAACCGGTGCGCTATGTTGGACTTCGAGTTTTCAAAGAAATCACGTTAATCCGTGGCATCCAGTGGAAGATTCTTTCGAGTTAACAATATGCAAAAAAAATCGGGATCGACCGTTTTGTTGTACAAAATATTATAAAAGTTCGCAGATTTCAAACATAGGATCTATTTAAGTATGTATTGTTGCGAAGTAAGTCAAGCAAAAATCAACAACTTCAAAAGTCGCCAGAAAAAAAACAACCAGAAATCTGCATGAGGAGAAAGAAATATCGAGGAAATGAAATATTTTTGTGTTCGGCTGTTCTGATTTTTTAGGAACAATTAAAAGTAGTTACAATGAACTAGGTGTGACCTAAGGCAAGTTGCCTGAACTTCCTGATATATGAGAAAAAGAATCATGACATATAAAAACCATGTTGTTAGAAATTGTTGTTAAAAATCTTGTAGAAAATGTAAAATTGTGCCAAGTGTTAAATACGAAGAAACTGCTTGTTCCACCTTTACTAAAAATTAATCAACAAAATTCCAGAGTCATATATTTCTAAACCTTCATAGTAACGAAGATCTTTACCAAAAACTTTGTCACCATAATTTACAGCTAATATTTTTTGAGCGATTTCTGAATTTTTAAAATATGTTCAGGATTTTTTTACGAAAAAGTTGTCATTTTTTTAAGTTGAATTTTAAGTTAATAAAGAAACTGCTAGGCTGATCATTATGCACAGTTTATAAATGTAACTCATGTATTGAGATGTAATAAATTATATATTTTTCAAATTGTCTTACAAAGAAACTGTCCAGCATATCTTAACAAAAAAGTAATAGGCACTACTAATAACAAATATCATCTCCTAAACGGTTTCAATTTTTTTAAATCAGTTCTGAATTTTTTTACACAAACCTTGATCTTTTTTTTAAATTAGTTATTGAAAGCAAAGAAACTGCTCGACTGATTAGTAATTATTAAGTTATAACCAACTTTAATCGTTTTCCCATCGAATATTTTAATTATCAAAACACTTTATAAAAAAAATCTCGTACAGTTACAAAAAAACTGTTCAGCAGATCTTTACAAAAAAACTCATCGACATAATTCACAACAAATATCGATTTCTACATTTTTGAAATCACTTTAGAATTTTCTTACGCAAAGAGACTGTTCGACCGATCACTATGCAAAACTAATAAATACAAATAATTTATTGAGTTTTTATAAATTAATTTCAAAATATGAATATTGGTGAAGTCATTTTCGAATTATAGCAAAAAAAAATTTGGTTTCTCAATATTTTCTGACTCTAGGGGAGCTAGGGCCTTTTTGTAACTGGGGTAAGTAGTAGGTATCAGACGTTTTTCAATAGAATCTTAAACGATAATAAAATATTTTTTTTATTTCGATTAGACATATATTTACTGTCCTGCATAATAGCTACTGTCCTGCATGCAGAAGTGTGCGGGTGTGTCATTATTGACAGGCAATATAATTAATATAATATACAATATAATTAGTCTATCATGAAATTTCGGTTTGCATTATTATTATCGAATAAATTTAAATTGTATTAATCTTATTTTTTCTCACATATTACTGTTATTATCTGTTCAACTCTAATTCAATTATATTAAAAAAAAACTAGTTTTATTTTAACGGTTTCAAATCTCTATTTTTTTTCAATATAAATGTATTTGTGCTTCTTCTCCTGGTTGGTATAAATTGAATTTTTGATTATTAAAATTAGAATATAATAGAAATATTATTAGGATTTTATTAAATTTTTCTCATTATTAATATAGCATATTTTTAGCTGAATGATGAGACGCATATGATTCTCGAAACGTACTTTTAAAAAAAATGATTTTTATATTCTATTTCGACATTAGATGCTATAATAATTTCTATCATAATTTCTTTCTTCTTTTATTTTATTCAAACCCGCATCAATATAATACTATATTAACCTAACTATTTTATAAATTGAGGCCTAAGGTGATTTTCATTTAGGACATGAAACCTCGATCGATTGAAGGTTGTCAAACAGATTGAATTTACTTCACAGTAAATTAGCTAACAATAAGATAAATCCAAGTTTTCTTGTATCCATAAAAAATGACAAATGTTTTCCTTAAAATGTCGTTAAATTCCTAACCCTACCATACAAGTAACAAATTAAATTCAGATAAAATTTCGCCTCTTGTTATTTTTTCCACAACGATACCTTTCTCCCTTTTATCCGTGCAACTTTTTTTCTAATCGCTAATGTTTATCCAACCGCTACTTATAAACAACACTTTTATTTTGGGTTTGTGCCAAACTGTTTGGGTCTTTTAAGCCTCCGCCTTACCTCTAGTATTGGAGGTATCATATAATGTGCCCTGTAGATTAATTCCTGTATTTTTTTATCAAGGGTAAAGGGACCCCTTTGTATTGTGTTGTGCCATTGATATCGATACGGGGATAATCCTGCTTTGCCAGGAGTGCGGTCCTAGAGGTAAAAGCAGTGATGGTAAAAGATCCAAAATACCTAACAGTTGTTATAGTGAAGACAAGTAACAGTAAATAAAATTGTGAAGCGAGTTGAAACAGTAAATTTACAGAAGATAAATTAAATAAATTGTTATTCTAACTCTGATAATAAATACTTCTGATAAAATTTCAGGCGAAGGTTTTGGACAGCGTGATTTTTCTCAAAAATGTACCCATGAATTTGGTATCGCAAACAAAAGTTGCATTTATCTTGTTTATAACAATTGTATTTCCAAAATCCATAAGTCTGATTATGATATAGAAATATCTAACAAATCAAGAATTATGATGGCAGTAAGAGTTGATAAATATTTTTGTTTATTTTGTTTAACAATATATTTTTTTACTAAATTTTGTGTTGTTCCTAGCAATTAAACCACATTGGATTAATTAAATGATGTTTCTACAATTTCGTAAAAACCCCTTTAAAATTTTAAAACAAATATTAGATCTTCTTGCCCTCTAGCTGTTCCTTTTAACCCTACCTATTGGGTAAAAAGAGACAGATTACACAATCTATAAAAATAGTAAAACAACATATTTCTATAATGATGAACTAGAATTTTACTGAAGTTTATTTGATAAGTGTTATGAATACTGATGTAGTTGATTTGGTTTTCACAGTATAGTTGCTAAAAGTCGAATTTGACCTTTGTGCCCCGCCCTTATTTAAAACAACCTTTATGATCAGTGTCCGATAGATTTTTACCCCAGTCTGTTTTTAAAATCATTTTGCATCCTACGTTCCAATTGTGAAAAATTTATTCAGCCTTGTTAGTTATTTATTTGTATGGAAATATAGAAGTAGCAGGCATTATTTTCGCAATATATGTTCAATCAATTTTCCTGCTCATTTAATAATTGCAGCAAAATGTTCTTCATCTATGTCTTCATCAATCCACTTTATCTTTTATAATTTTTCAAACAATTTCCATCGTATTTCTTAGTAGCCCATATTCCTGATCTGATAAATAGATACTAAAATTTACCGCACTGAGCTCTTTGGCCAGCTTTGAGGTTTCCTCCCATTATTATGTGGCTCACGGTACATTTAGAGTTTGCCAAACCTGGTATAGGCTCAAGTACGTCAGTCATTCAGCTTAAAATAACAAAATGCCTACCGCTGTACAAAATGTACAAACAGCCAAAGTGTTCTAAAATCAGTGATGAGGAAAAATATATCGGCACGACATTGACACAATAAAAAATTAATACTTGTATATATATATATATATATATATATAAATGTACATATTTTATATAGGTATATTTTTCTCCGTCACCACAGAAAAAGATTATCGGAGCGAGGTGATGACTTGTCATGCGTGAGTTGAGTTCGAAAAAAAAAATCGTACAGAATATAAAATGCTATAAAAACATTCACGGATACCGAATACCGGTTCAAGACCGTTTTGCAAAACTGTGTTATTGTTATTCTTCTGTTTTTGTTAAAGTTTGATCTCTCTCTTCTAAGCTGTGTACGATTTTTAGTTCCTATACTTTGATGTTTTTGCTAATCGTAAGAAGATCTGGATTTAAGAAACTGATTTTAAGTTGGATACATTGTTTCCGGGTATTTTATAAACCATAGGTTAAAAATTTTGTTTGAGATATATTTGACTATTGAGGGCCTACAACATTCTTACTTATCTAGAGCGGCGGTCAGGAAACTTTTTTGGTCATTAACCCAAAATATATTTGTCTAAGTTGATATTACTCATATGGCAAAGATTATTATCCCCATAAAGACGACTACATAGCAAATATAGTAAATATCGATCAAAAGTACTTAGATTTTACCCGATAAAATTCCCTATTTATACCATTTGAGGTAATTTACCCAGGTTTCCGACCACTGATTTAGAGGATACAAAATCATAGCACATTCATAAATTCATTTTGCTTTATGGATTTTATTTCTGAATATAATCGTTTATTGTCATTTTATCACAGACATGTATCTTCGGTAGTCTTGTCGAAGTTTGTGCCATTTTGAGGATAGATTTTAGAAGTTAAGACAAAGTTCGTTACCACCCACTTATAGGATTATTCAACAAAAGAGATCGGTAACATAACACAATCATTTTATCTGCTCCCGAAATTCATAGTAGTGCTGATAGTAAACCCATCCAACCAACTTTTCCCCCATTTATCATTTTCAATTTCTTTTAAATAAATTGTCCTTACCAGCAGCCGCAACCGCGTTCGCCTTTCCCGTCAGATAATCGTCCTTGCAAACAAACTTATTGTCATCGAGAACATACAATTGTTCGCCCGTCGACAATTGTTTGCGGCAAACAAGACACGTGAAGCAGTTCAGATGGAAGACCTTGTCCCTAGGTTTCCTGACCAGGTCCGAAGGAGCGATTCCTTGACCGCATCCACTGCATTTCGTACCGTATCGCCTGGGTAAAGAATGGTAAAGGACATATTAGATAATGGTATGAAGTATTATTTTAATTTTTGTTATTACCTAAAGAAGTCGTTCCGACAGAACAGTTTCGCTTCCCTGGAGAAGCACTTGTCCGTCAGAGGTTGCAAACAGTCACAACACCTCACACAACTGGCGTGCCAACCTCGTTCGAGAACGTTCAGGAGGAATTTGTCCAGGATCGGTTTGTCGCAGCCCGCACATGGGGCCGCGAGACCCAACGGAGGAGGCTCCGCTCTACCTAGAAAAGAAAAAAAAAAGAATTAGTATATTTTATTTTTTTACAAGATAATACTTTTATGGATAGTTACAAATTAACTCTTTCGCTACAAGAGAGCTTTCCACAGGAGTGTCGCTGCTGTACGGAACAGCATGTGCTTTAGTAGCGCCACTAAACTGGCTAGACACAATTTTAAAATATTCTTATCATTATCAATGAAAATGTATTAAAATTACATTACGCTTCTATTGAACTAAAAATTAAAATAAAACCTAGAATTCTCACAAGCTTAACTCATAGTGATAAATCTTGAAGCAAAGACAAACATAACATATCGTCCATGGACAATAGTTCTACATAGATGTCGTCCATGGACGACAGTCGTACATATAGCATGTCACATACATTAGTCCAGTCATCATAGTAAGTTTACCTCGAAATTCGAGATACCCAGCTGTAAGTCCGTAAATGCTTGTATATTGACACCCAAAATTGTCTCAAAACCTACATATGGTATTGACACTCTACCATATGTAGGCTTTGAGACAACTTTAAGATGTCAATATAAAAGTATTTACAGACTTATAGCTGAGTAGCTCGAATTCCGAGATTCTTACCTAATTTAATCTTAAATGACTGAAAGAGATGTCGTCCATGGACGACACTCGTAGCAAAAGAGTTAATTCACTTCCCGTAGGGCAAGTTATAGTAATCGCAAAAAAATCGAAAATAAAAATTTTTATATATTTTTACGTTTCAAAGGTTTCTGAATATTTTCGCATACCTTAGAAAAAATGGATGTATGTGTGTGTGTGTTTGTGTGTGTGCGGATACAAATTTTCGACGACGATTTCGGGAACACGGATCAACCGATTTGAATAATTCAAAAAACATTAAATTAAAGAGTATAAATCGTCATAAAAGTGCATCGATTATTAATAAAAATGTAATATTTAATACAAACAAGATAAATTTATTAAATATCAAAATGATGAATGTGCAAAATAGCAACATCATTAAATAAAAAACAAATTAACTAAAACAACAAATAACACACATTCATCTTATACAAATCGCAAGTACATTATTTTCTCATTTCCTATTTTTTACATTGAGAGAACGAGTTCGACTCGCACTTTTTTCTCATAGTAATAATAAAAAGATAGTTTATTCAAATAACTATAATAATTTTAAACACATACTAATAGACAGTATAAATTTCATAACAGCCATTTCACGCTGTCATTTGCATATAAATGTTAATTTTATTCCGAAGCATAGTTTAAAAAAATTATACTAACACGCAGAGAGCGTTGACAGAAGCATAAAATCGATATTTATAAGTAGATCGATAATATATATATATATATATATATATATATATATATATATATATATATATATATATATGATGCTATGATGTAATTTATTTAGTTCAGACAGTGTAAATACATAAAGTTAATTTGGACCTTTGTGGTATACCTAATGGCTTCATATCATATATGCAATAATACCCAAAAAGTCAATTTCTATTTCAGATTATATTAGAGATCTATAACCTCAAGTGTAATTTTGGTACCACACTGCTTGGTATCGAGTTGACAGAAGTTGCAGTCAAAGCTGAGAGAAGTTTGTGCTTTAGTATTAATTATTTGTTGTTTAATTCTAACAATCCTTAATCAATTTTCCCTTTCAAACGAAAACTAAAACGTGTGGCTTTTAACTTCAAGTCTAATGATACTGCTTGATCGCGAGCTGACAGGATCGCGATCGAAGTTGGAACTTGTTTGTGTGTCAATATCAAATATTTGAAATTTAATTCTTCTTGTAATCCTTTATCAATTTTTCCTTTCAAACAAATACTGAAACGTGAGGTTTCTAATGTGTGTGCAGTCAAAAACAAAGGACAACATTTGAAACCCAATAAAAATCATGGTCACCCAGCCTAATGATACAGTTTATCTCATCGATGCCTTAAAAATCGACATTTTTTTTAAATGCATCCACATCTTTTTCCCCAAACTGGTTTGATGGTCCCCGATGCGAGGTAGCCAGCGTCGACGGGGCGTCAATGTATTGATTTAATATCGTTTAATTCGATAATTACACAAAATCGATATAAAAAATGTCGAATTCGGAAGATGAAAGAATACGAACTTTTACATTTTTATGTAAATTTGATAGTTTTAAGCCTTCCAGCCATTATGCGTGAGATAATTGATGCGTTGCGTATTAATAATTCTGATGTTTGGTAACTGACGGTATGTTATTAAATTATAAATATTATTATACGGGAATAAAAACAAATGGTTTCGAGTTAAATAATTAATTGAGGCCGGTTTGAAAGGATCAATTGGTAATAATATATTTTTAACAAAATTAAAGTATTTTTTGGTATTTAATTATTTTGATAATGTACGAGACATCCTCGATTTGCAAACACTAAGACGCCAGGGCGTGGTGTATTTTGAGAATCCTAACGAAAATAGGTGTATGAGGCATTTTGCCTTGAGACAAGTAACCAACACTTCCATATAATTTACATAATCAACAAGAATTGTGATGTAACATTGTCAAGATACAATTTTGAAATCTTGCTCATTATTCCAAATTTTGATGATTTTTTTGATAATTACTTGTCGTAGGCCTATAATATTCTAAGATACTCGTTAAAACCTTGAACTCTACTATCATCCAAAGTTTCATCAAAATCTTTATAACAAATATCATGAATTAATTACAAAAAATTGGTGCAGCCTTTTTCGAGAAAACATCGAAAAATGGTAAAAATTTAGCTCATACACAATTTTTCAATTCATTTTTTTTTCAATTTTGGTGTCAAACAATTCAGAATGACTTGAAACGTCGAGAAAACATAACATTAGCAATTCAGATATAAACTTCTTCTTCAAAATCTTTATAACAAATAACATGAATTAATTACAAAAAAGTGCAGCTTTTTTTGAGAAAACGTCCAAGAATAGTAAAATTTTGGCTCACATTCACTCTTGCAGTCATACACACATTTTTTCAATTTTGGTATCAACGATTCAAAATGATTTGAAACATCAAGAAAACATAATATTAGCAATTCAGATTTTTTGGCGAAAATATAAACTTTTTCTTCAGAATCTTTATAACAAATATCATGAATTAGTTATAAAAAATTGGTGCAGCCTTTTTTAAGAAAACGTCTAAGAATAGTAAAATTTTGACTCATTTCAAACGATTCAGAATGGCTTGAACATATTGACATAACATTAGCAATACAAATTTTCTGACAAAAATATAAACTATTCCTTCGCTTCAATATTCCAATTATTTAATCCAAAAGTCAACTCCTATAAGTCAATTAAGTAATATTGTGGGTAATAGATTTCGTATTTTAAAACTAATAAGGTAACAACTATTATTATGCATTACAATGTCAATTATAAACCAAGACAATAATTATTATAAAATTATATTTAAATATAGAATACAACCATACGGTTAACCATTAAACACCACCATCCAACTTGGTCCATAAGTAGTTTCCAAGAAACAACTTTATCCTAATACCTCCTAATTTTTATTGCCAAATATCAATATTTAACCCAATTTTCCTTTCCCTCAGTTATTACAAGCCCATAATTATCTTAAACATTTTACCTTCTGACCATTCACGATTTTTTGGCTTGTAAAATTATTTCCTTGCCGAGATTTTTTTAATAGAGGTCGCATAACAGTATGTTTGATTTTATTTTGAGGTTCCTTTTTGCTTTCGTTTTTGATAATTGAGAGAATTTTGAATAAAAATACGCTTTTGATAGCCGACTTTTCTGGCATAAATCAATGTCCTAATAACACAATATTTAACGGGAATCGAAGGATAATAGACTAAGGATAATTCGGATTATTTTTAAGTTGGTAAAATCTAGTTAGAAATATATAATATCTCTAACAAAATGTATATAGTTAATTTTTTATCTATATTTATAGATTTAATTCATTTATAGATTTTTTATCTATATTTATAGATAAAAAATCGTATATCGTATATTTATAGATAATATTTTTAAAGATTAGGTAGAAAAATCAGGGCATCCTTTATGAAAAAAGTACGCTACTGACGAGCAAACTATGGAAAGTCTTGAGGAAGAAACTGATGAAATGATAATATTTTGAGTATGGCTCTGTATAGATCAGAGATATGGACTTGAAGAAAGGTTGACAAAAATTACTTCAAAAGTTTCGAGATGTGATACTAAAAATAGAATAGACCAGCAAGTTACCAAGTGAAGAAGTACTTGGTAAAGACGACAATCACTAAAGGTTGTAATTGTGGGAAGAAAGGAAAACTGGACTCGATTTGTATTTTTTGCGTCCAACTTTGAGCTTAACTAACCAAGTTTTTGCAAGCAAGGATTGTTGGCCATTAATTGTGTCCTTCTAAGTCGTCAATAATCAGCATGTTCTTCACATTTTATTATAAAAAGTAAAATGTAGTTCTAGTCAGAAGGAAATTACTGCAATTGGTTTGCAAAATTTCTGTGCGACAATTTTGTTGCAGAAGATGCACCATGCTGTGCAAAACCAGATTTAAGTTGATAAAGGCATTAGATTAAAGTGTAGAAATATTACTATGTATGATTTGAAAATTAATCGCTGTAATTAAAAGTAACTTGAACTGTTTATAACTTACTTGAAAACTTGATTCATTTTTATTTACTACTCCCACTGGATAAGGAAGAAATTATTTTATAACTAAAATATAGATACAGGGTGTTCCAGAACGGAACATCAAGACGACATAGGGAAACAAGATTGGTTGTAACCACCATGAGAAATATCAGACAAAAATCTATCCTATCCAGCAGATTGACTGACAAAATTCGTCCTATGGAGCAGATTGACTGACAAAAATCTATTCTATTCAGCAAAATGACTGACAAAATATATTCTATTCAGCAGATTGATTGACAAAAATCTATCCTATCCAGCAGATTGACTTTCAAAAATCTATCCTATCCAGCAGATTGATCTACAGAAATATATCCTATCCAGCAGATTGGCTTTCAAAAATCTGTCCTATCCACCAGATTGACTGACAAAAATCTATCTTATCCAGTAGATTGGCCTACAGAAATCTATCCTATCCAGCAGATTGACTGACAAAAATCTATCCTATCCAGCAGATTGAATGAACAGGGTGACAGGATTAATTAACCATCATGAAAAAAATCAGACAAAAATTTATCTTATCCAGCAGATTGACAATTTTGGGCATTTATGGCCTAATAATAGGCAGGCTTTTCGATTACTTAAAATGTAATCAATAAAATTGATAAAAAATGGTATAAGTATTAAATTTTGATGGCAGGTGCTACTACAATTACCCAAAACTTGGTTAAAAC